CCCCCCCCACATTTTCAGCGAGGCTTCGTAAAACACAGCCTTGGGAGACACGCGTCGCTGTTTGGACGACGAGGGCGACGAGAGCGAGAGAGGCGACGTCAAGGCTATCGTTTGCACTGCGTCGTCCCCGTGCTTCTGGGTGGAACGAAAAGCTCAGGCGAAAAGAGAAAGGCTTTCGTGCGAAACGACAAAATTCCTCGTGGAATTCCTGTGGGCATTTGAACTCATTCGCGCGGTGACGGAATTAGTAAAAAAAAAAAAAGAAAAAAAAAAAAAAAAGAAAAGAAGAGAGAGAGAGAAGAAGAGAGAAAGAGAGAGAGAGAGAGAGAGAGAGAGAAGAGAGAGAGAGAGAGAGAGAGAGAGAGAGAGAGAGAGAGAGAGAGAGAGAGAGAGAGAGAGAGAGAAAACTCTTCTATGTCTTATAAAACACACTAAGGGAAAACAAATGGGGCAACTTTTTCTTATAATTAGACATGATAGATACACTGGAATTCGTATTTCATCATGTAAGGGTAATTCAGAGCGAAAACATTTGAAAATATCTAACAAACGTTTTTCTAGGTATTTTCTAAGGGTATTTACAGCTGAGTTACAAGCTTATATATTTCTTGAAATATAATCTACAAGATAATATAACCCCAGTTAACCGTCACACAGTCCCGGAAATCACATCTTCATATTTTTAGAAATTAACAACATACAGAGAGAATAATCCAAAGTTTTCCTATAATTTTGGCATAAAAACGTACGGATGGCTGATCTTCAACCTGATAGAACAACAATATGTGATGTTTCAAAGAGGATGTTGACATTACACATATATCCACAAGACAGGCATCTTTTGTAACACATTAGAACACCATCTAATTTTCCTTTTCATTATTCATAACAGCAGTCTCTCTCGTCACAGTGCCGTCCGTCTCAACACTATCCCTGTATTACAAGCAAGCAGAACCAGATAGCAACTGTGCATAAAAGTGCTGTCACACTAGCACTTTTTCCGTCAATTTTTAGACAATTTTCTGATGTTGTTTTTTTTCATTTTGAGCGAATTTGTCGATCGTTTCCGTCAACTTTTTCAGCCAAGCAAAGTCAAATCAAGTTCTATTCGAGAATGTTTGTATTTATGTTAAATAGAATTGTCGAAAAATTGACGGAAAAAGTGCCAGTGTGACAGCACCTTAAGGGGAGTCCCCTCGGCCCTTTCCCTCGGCTCGAAACTAATACACCTTATACTTAATCCGAAATATGAAATACAAAAAAGGACATAACACCTATATGAACAGACGTTCCTTGACAGCAGACAGATAGGGCCGTTTCACTTCATTTTGTCATTTCCTTTTCGTTTAATGTTCCACCGACTTCTTCCTCATCAGGAGATAAGTCGGAGACGGTGAGTCGGCGAGATCGAGATTGTGCGCAAGAAAAGTTTCCGAAATTGTTGGACGTCCTGAGGTGGGCCGTGGGGCGGCGGGGCGGGCGGCAGAGCGTGTAATGACGTTACTCATGATTAGCAGGACCTGATCACCAGTAACAAGGATGGCGCGAGGAGGGATCAGAGGCAAAAGAAAGGAAAGACTGGTAGAAATAGAGAGATGGAGAGGGAAGAAGAACAGAACTGATATTCGTGCATATGCGTCTATGTAAATATGTCTATACTGATACACACGCGCGCACACACACACACACACACACACACACACACAACACACACACACACACACACACACACACACACACACACACCACCACACATTATATATAATATATATATATATAATATATATATATATATATATATGTATATATATATATATATATATATATATTATATAATATAAATATATATTTATAAATATATATATATATTACATATATATATACCACATATATACACACACACACACACACACACACACACATATATATATATATAAATATATATATTATATATATATATATATATATAGTGAGTAAGACTTAGATACACTGAAATAGATGAAGATGAAAAAATGAAATAGAGTAGAATGAATATAGAGATAGAATATGAATAGTAATAAGAAATAGATATGATATATATACACGACTACAAGACGACGAACACACCACCTATCTAGACAATAACACACAAAAACACCACAGCACACACTACTCCAGATCATCAAACACACGCGAGCACAACGAGCACACAACTAAAACACGGGAGTCACAGACACACAGAGCAAACGACACACACGCGACAAACACACGCACAGACACAACCCAGAAAAGAGTAAGAAAAATATATAGAAATAAATGTATATAATGTATGATAATAAATTATAAATAGAATAGAATTATATATAGACTATGAGTAAGGGCACTGACAATACATAGAGGGGTAGGTAAGTGATGTAGAAAAATATATATATATTAATAATATGATAAATAATAATACATATATGAATATATGTATAATACACACACACATACCACAACAACACACACATATACTGAGCTG